AAACTAAACATTTATGATCTATACATTTTTTTGACTTACACATTTTATTGTGAAATAATCATACCTCAACTTAAGTAGGAAGGGTTGGAAACCAGAGTATGAGCCAAGGAAAAGGACTCCTAAAATTTGCTTTATTTATTTATTGCTATAAAAATTTATTAAGCCTCTACTATTGAGCAGGCACTGTTCTGCAGGCTGAGGGGAACTGGGGAATGAGGCCCCGTCCTCTCCTTTTTGGAGCTTACATTCTTGGAGGGATAGACAATGAAGATAAACAGATACGTAATAGAACGTGAAGGGAAAAAAAGGATAAAGGGATTTAGAGTAAATTGTTTTACTAAATGCAGAAGCTTTGGAGATTCTAGGCATCATCTTTGCTCGAGAGAAACCCAAAGTTCATTTCTTTCTTTAAAAAAAAAATGCTGCCTACTTGCCCTACAAGGCTCCTGCTTTGGTGCTCCTGCCCAGTAATTCTCCTAGCTGAATGCTGATTTGGCTGTGACTTTTTGGCTCCCCCAGGGGCACAGATATTGTAATCAGGACTTGCCCTCGGGGATAGTTCCAGGGTGGGAGGCGGGGGTGGTGTCCAGAGTCTCCCTCAGGTGGGGCTGACTTACAGAGTTTGCTGGCTGCTTGCCAGAGGCTCCCACCTGGCCTCTTATCCCATCCTGATCTCTGCAGGCAGTGAGGGTCTTTCTGAGGAATTCTGTGGCCTAGCTCTTATTTGATTTTGCTAACCCTGGCAGAGATCTGCCTGGCAGAGTCCTGGCAGCTGATTTATATCCCCAACACCTACACTGTTGCATTGATCTGACCTTTTTTCCACGGGGACACCTGAGAGAAGGGAAGACAGTTTGAGAAATTCTCTGCTTCTTCCCACTTTGAAGGAGCCAATCATGTTGATGGTCCTGTCAAAATTTCTTTCTACCCACAAGGGAAGGATGTGATCACAAGCAGATCACTGGCAAGAGACAGGTGAGAGAGAGTGCTATGCCTCTTGAACGGGGGGGCCTCTCTTTAATGATCTCATTGCTCCAAGCATGGTTTGGAGTTCCCACTATAAGCACCCCAGCAACAGTGCCCTAGACTTCCCTAGGATGCGGTGATCTCTTTTAAGGAGAGTCAGCCAGGCGTAGGGGTGGGGACTGTGGCCCCCTCCCAGAGCTTTCAGGTGGAAGCAGACTTAAGAGGTATTGCTGCTTCTCTGTTTCTCACCTCCTGTGACAGTGAGTCCCTGTTGCCTGCAAAACCATCTACCATGTCTATCAAGATGTTTCCTTTCATTGCCCTGGCCCTGTGGCTTGGTTGGTTGGAGAATTGCTCTGTACACCAGAGGGTTACAGGTTTGATCCCCAGACAGAGCCCGTAGCTGGGTTGTGGGTTTGACCCCCAGTCAATCTCTGGTAAGGGAGAAGGTGGGGGCAGGTGGAGGTGAGGGGAAAGGGGGGCAGGTTGTGGGTTTGATCCCTGGTCAACCCTGGTCAGGGTGTGTGGGGCAGCTGATAGATGTTTTTCTCTCTCTCTCTATGGAATCAATGAATATGTGCTTGGGTGAGGATTTTTTTTAAAGGTATTTCCTTTTATTGACTCTGACCTGGCCTCTGCAAGCATTTTGAAATGTATAGGCACACTCAGTTTATCAGGTCTTCTGCTTCCTGGATTCATGTCGAAGACCCCAGAATCCTGGACATAATGATACTGGTGCTACATTGTTTTGTGGCCAACAAAAGTCATACCCTTTGTAGGTTTCAGTTTCTTCCCCTATGTCACAGTAGGCAAGGGGTGACACAGTAGCCGGCCGTGCTCACGAAATAAGCGGACACTTGAGACAATGGAAAATAACAAGATTCCAGAGCCTGTGTCTTTCTCTTCCAACTGCTATCTCTGACTTGCTCTTCTAATGCTTTGCCTGTGAGTTTCTCTTCTGTGAAATGAGGGTGAGCTGACTTCAGTTGCCATGTATTGTCCTCACAGGCGGGAAGTCAGTCTATGTAGCTCTGGTCTCCTGGGGGCTTGGGGAAAGGATGAGGGAGGGGCCCTGTGATAGGCTTTCTGCACATAAGTGACCTTTATCCCAAGAAATCATGGGATTCTCATGACTGCCTACTTATGACATACAGGCCCAGCTTGGGGCAGAGCTTTGGCTTCCCTTTTCTCTCTTCTTGACATGTTTGGGAAGAGGAAGCCTGGGGACACATGCCTGGGATTATGGCATGAAAGAGGGAGATGGAGTTACAGCTCATTGGTAGGGGCTGGTCTTTGTGTAACACCTACCTTGAGGGTCTGTGACTGTCCTCAACCAGATGTCAAAAGATGGGTAGGATATTCACAGATCTACATGCTACCTGGCCAGCGCCCTTAACACGCCCTTCCTTCTGCTCTCTGGGCTCCCTGCAAGCGAGGCCAGCGACAACCTGAAGGCTGCAAGCCTGAGGAGGTAAGGCTTACAGAAGGGCCTGCTGTGAGCCCCAAAGGTGCCCAGGGACCTCAGGACTGTGTCCTGTCCCAGCTGCCCTCCAAGCTGTCCTTCCTCACCTACTCTTTCCTCATTCTCTTACACTTTTCACACAGATCTAAGCCAAACTTTGGGTGTACGTAGGTAAAGATAATATATGCCCTTGAACTAAGGTCCTACCCCATGAGTGACAGAAACTAGGCCCATCTCCTCCCCCATAACGGACAGGTATTGGACGAAATGTTTTCCAAACTGCTGTCACTTCAGTCCCTCCACATCCTGAGATTCAAGTGCCACATTGCTCAATAAACAAGCACAACAAGACAAAATGTGATCCAACCAGCCTCTTGTTATCTGTCACTTCACACTGTCATTGGCGCCATGGCAGTAAGGACAAAAGGAGAGAACTACACAAATTGACCTCAGAGCCCTCCCTCAGGCATTCCCACAGGACTGAGGGTGATGAGAACAGGGGATGGAAACCAGCTTCTAAGAGTGGGCCAGTGTTTGTCTAAGCCAGTTCTCTGTGCTCAGAGCAAGGGGCAGGACTCTCCCTGGCTGTAGCCTCTTCTCTGTCTTGTGGGCCAAGCTAGCATGATGGACTTCCCCTCTTCTTGCCCAGAGGAGAGGGAACTGGGCTGTTCTGCCCTTCTGGATCCTATCTGGGCACCATTGGCTCTGGAAAAGGTGGAGCGAAACAGAGGACAGGGCCCCCACATCTCCACGAGTATCCCAGTTCCCTCCTTCAGCAAATGTTTATGGAACACCACGTGGGCCCAGACACAGTGGCAAGCAGTAATGAGGTCTGATGCTTGGCAGTGCAGCATAGTGGAGAAGACCAGCTTGGGAGAATCAGGGAAGACTTCTCAGAGGAGATGATAGTGCTAAATACCCAGGGGCTGTTGCGATGTAGATGTGGAGAAGGGCAGTTGACAAGTTTAGAGGACCAGAAGGCGGAAAGAGACTCTAAACTGGTACGTCCCTGACTAGGACTGTCAAATATGGCTCCTTTTTGGCTCCAGGCCAGAGAGGTGGTGTGGCAGGTTTTCTGTGGACCGACCGGGTTGAGAAGAGGCCAGTGCACTTGTCCAGCCACCTTCCTGCATTACCACACTGTCTGGAGAGCTATGACTTACCTCTCTCCAGTGCTGCTCCCCAAGGTTCTCCCCTGTCAAGCACAAAACACACGTGTGCGCGTGCACATTGACACATGCTGGTATATGAACCAGGAATGGGCTTCTACCAGGTTACTGCTACATGTATCTCAGACCTGGGTATATGCCTGCAAGTCAGATAGTACACGTGACTGAGAACAGTTAATATCTTGGGGCAGAGTATATGGCCCAGGGACTGACTGACTGGGCAGGTGTGTGCTGGAGACAAAAGTCTTAGGGCCAGAGCCAGGCTGGAGATTTCTGTGGTGGTTTGACCTCCCCTAGGGAATCTTTTCCCAGCCTGGGAAGCCAGCCCCGCTCCAGAGCATTCAACCTAGAATGGACGTACAGAGAGGACAGGCAGATACAGGCCCAGGGCCTCCAAGAAACAAATGAGCTGAAAGGCAAGTTTTTCCTGCCCTAACTGTGCTTTGGAGCCCAAGTGCGGAGAGGAAAGGGTCACCCCAGCTGCCTTTGTGGTCAGAGAGGTCTACCCTTGTTTTTGTTTTCTGTAGTTGCTAAATGTGTGTGTGTCACAACTGTCTTCCAGAAGTTCAAACCAGGGCCTCCCTCTCTCCCATATGTGAGAGGTATGAGACCTTAGCCAACCCCTAGCCCTTCACCTCCTCACTCTGTCCTTTTCCTCCCCGCTTCCCCTCCCCACAAGCAGGCCCTGGCCAGCCCTCTCCCCCTCCAGCCTAGGCCACCTTTCCCCAGTCATCCAGCCTCCTGCCTCCTGCGAGAACAGTCAGCCTGCTCTCCCCTGTCCTTCCCTTTGCCTGACAGCAACCTCTTCCCCAGTTGATGTCACCCCAGCTCTGCGGTAATCCAGCAGCTGAGCAGGGCTCAGCAGGGTTGCAAGGTCAAGAGGGCAGCTGGCTGTGTTCAGAGCCAAGCTTCCTTCTGTGTCCCAACCCTCGCCCCCTCCCCTCCCCCAACTCCTCTAGCCTTTCTTGGCCAAGTGTCTGCTGCTCTTCCATTCTAACCCTCTGAGCCAATATATCCGCCTGGGGATTGAGTGTTGACTGAGCCTTCCGTGTGCCCAGGGGAAAGTCAATGAATTCCCTCCCAACCCTGTGGGACGGAGAATGGAGCCAGAGTTCTGGGCCCACCCCTGGGGAGCTCACAGATCTCTCAGAGAAACGGGACAAAGCACAATGGCCAGCTGAGCCAGATAGTATCTGATAACCGCATAGGGTAAACATACCATATTAAGTGGGATACGGGTTTGCGGAAGGGAGAGAGGTCCTTTCTTATACAGGGACCCCTAAAGTTAGTTAAGGGAAGAGAATGGGCATGAAACATGCTCATTTGTGTCTTTATTCCTTTTCTTTTTTTAAAATTGTTGTTCAAGTACAGTTTTTTCCATTTTCCCGCCTTTTTTTTTTTTTCTGCTTAGCAATCTTCAGGGACCCAAATGACTTTAATGAGTCTAAGGTTTGTGACATGGCTTTACTATTGCCAGCTTTCTCTAAATTTCTGCAGAAACATATTCAGGTAAGCAGACTCCTTGGCTGGTTTTCACTTGGCATTTTTTAAAAATTCTTACCCGAAGATATGTTCTTATTATTTTTAGAGAGAGAGGAAAGTAGAGAAGGGGAGAGAGAGAGAGAGACACACACATCGATATGAGAGAGAAACATTGATGGGTTGCCACCCATATGCACCCCGACCGGGGATTGAACCCACAACCTAGGTATGTGACCTGACCAGGGATCAAACTCACAACCTTTTGGTGTACGGGACAACATTCCAACCAACTGAGTTACCAGCTAGGGCTGGCATTTTTTAAATGTCTGCTTATGTGCACTTACATGCTTTGACAATCTATTAATATTTATCCACATATATACCCCTTTTTACAAGGCTCAGAAAAGTTGTACCAGCCTGGGGTTATTGGGGGGGGATGATATGATGGGGATGTATCAGGTACATCTGCTGTGTGTGTGGTAGGCACTTCATAGGTTTTTGTCCAGCAGGTTGTTCTGTCCAAGCACAGAAACAAACATGCTAGCTAGACAGTGGGAAGGAGAGTTGCCTGGTTCCGATCCTCCTCCGTCCTCCCGCCATCCACCGCTGCCCCGCATGGTCCTATCCAGCTCCCATAAACCCTGGGACCTACAGTCCTGGCCCATGAACAAGTTCTAGTCTGGAAGGCCCCTTAGATCACCTAGGGATATTTTCCTTCTATTCCACCTCCTCCCCAACCTTTTTTCACCTTTCGTTGCCCAAGAGAAGAAAGGGAACATCCCACATCTGCCCTTAGCTTCACGCAAGATGTAAAATAATGATATGTAAGGTATAAAGTAGTGTCATCATGGTGGATTTCCAGGCTATTTGTCTTCTCTTCCCACACCATGGGCTGGCTGGATTTCCTTTTCAAACCCCGAGTTATTTTCTTTTATTTTCCCTGGAGGCTCTGTGTTTGCAATGTTAGTTTGGCCCAGACATGCTCTTGCAGAACCCTTGGTTTCCCCATGTTGTCCTTTCAAGCAGCAGCCCAGAGAGCCAACTATGTTCATCCTATTCCTCCCAAGCCTTTCTTTCAGCTGAGAACCATTCAGGTGGAAAGAGGAGAGACAGCAGAGCCCTTGGCCCCTAGAACATCAGGGAGGCCCACAGGGGCTATTGGCCCAGTCAGTCCCTGTCATGTGGGGCACCTGGCAGTCTTCTCCCCAACACCCTCCTTTCCAAACCTCCATTTTCCCCAGACAAATGCCAGCTTCTTCTTCCTGACCCCCAAGTGCTACGCCTTTGGACCACCTGGCAAAGCTATGGCTGCCCTATCATGTACTTGGCTTTGGCTGAGGCCGTAACTTGGTGCCAAGGGAGGGTCACCTGAGATAGTGGGATTCCAAGAAAGGGATGGGGCCTGGTGCTGGCCAGCTTCCTGTCAGGGTAGGTTGGCACCTGGACCTGTGAGTCACGGCTAAAGGCAAGACCCAGCTAATCCCATTATGTCCTTCTCATTTCAGGGCTTATAAGCAATCAGGAGCCCAAGGCAGAGTTATGGAAAAGATAGGGCTTGCTTGGGAAGGTGTGTGTACCTGGGTCCCTCTGGAAGAGCAGGAACAGAGTCAGATGCAGGGGATGAGAGAGAAGCCTATTCTTTATTTGCTGGGGGGTGGGGAGAGTAGAGTGAAACCAGCACATGAGGTGAGAGGCAGGGTTGAAATTGTCCCCCTCGGTGGTGGGGAATACCAAGGTGGCACTTGGTAGATACTCCTAAGAGCTGAGGCTATCCCTTCGCCACTGGAAGTTGTGGAGGCCTCAAGAATGGGCCTCGTAGATCTCCAACTACTAGTGGAATAATTGACCGACAACATTCACCTGGGCCACACGTCCAGGTGAGCCGCTCTGGAACTTCCACACCCTAGGAGCAGTCCAAACAATAACGGAGCTTAGCAGGGATGCTAAGGTAGGGCCCTTCCTGGGAGACACAGGATTCCCCTGATGGTTTGCTTTGGTTCCCTGAAGTTCATGGCAAAAGTTCCTTAGGCTAACTACATTGCAGAAATCCACCGGACCTTCCTACCTTCCCTCCTTTCATAAGACTTACATCCTGGTCTGACAGTTCTCCCTGCCTTACTTGGCTCCCTTCCTATTTTCTGTCACAGGGCTTTCCCCCACTAAGACCCTTGGCGCTGTTACTCCATCTTGGTGTCTGCTTCTCAGAGGACCTATATTAACATACAAAGGCAACTTGGGTAGGTCTCCAGAACAATAAGCACCCACGGCTTACGACCTTTTAGCAGGGCCAGACATGAACCTTTAGAGTCACGCGGGAGAAAAGAATAAGTAACAGGAAGGAGCTGGGAATAGGAACGTTTGCTAGGCTGAAGACCTGAGCACACAGACCGCGAAACGGCTTCACCGGCTTTTTTACTGACAGAGTCGGGATAAGGGTCCTGGTGCCACCTGGTGGGCATTGGGGGCAAAGCACCTTTGCGTTTCCCATTCCATCCTGTGATTCTGCTCAGGAAGGTGAGAGCGAAGAGGATTTGCTCTGGTGTTTAGGGTACTCATTCTCCCTCATTTACAGCATAAATCTTAGGAATTTCCTCCAAACTTTACCTCCAAAGTGTTCCTTCTTTAAAGTCAGCACCACCATTGCACATATCTGTGAATATACTAAAAACCATTGAACTGTACAATATAAATGGGTGAATTGTATGGTGTGTGAATTATATCTGAATAAAGCTGTTCTTAAAAATCAGCACCAAAAGAGAACTAGAATGAAAGGAGCCTTTTAGAAGATGAGGATGAGAAAGGTTGGTTTCAGTTTCTTGGGACATCCCCAAACAGATATGCAAGAAGATGACATAGAAAGTATTTTAATAAATACCTAATAAATTACTTATGCAGTTAATGGAGCCACTTCTTTCATTGCCTCACCCCCACTCTTTAACTTTTACAGCCCCACTTCTCCAAATCCGATCTTCTCACTTTCCATGGTCACCTGAGAGATTCTAGTCTAAACACTGAAAGGTTTTTTATCAGAACCCGTGACCTTTTAGCGCCATTTGATACTGACAATTGCCATCCCCTTCTTAAACCACTCCTCTGATTTTGTGTCTTGAAAATCTTTGCTTCTCCTCTTATTACGAGTCTTTCTCTCCCGTTCTAGCTCCTCTTCCTCCCCCCAACGCCTTAGGTTCTTTTTTGTCTTTATCCTGTCCATTGGCAATCTCAACAGTGCCTGTGGCTCCAATAAACACTCCCAGCTACAGGGCCCCACCTAGCTCTCCCCAGTCTTTGTTACTCCCTCAGGCTCTAGCTCATCATCTGAGAGTCCCATCAACACTCTAGACACGAGGAGCCTAAAGCTGAACTTAACACCTTCCTTCTGAAACCTGCTTCTTACGGTCCTCGTCCCCCACCTCCTTTTACTAGCATCACTATCCTTCCAGTTGTCCAGGTGTGAGGCCTTAGATCTACCTTGGGTTTCTCTCGCTTGCACCACATGTCCAATCAGGTGCTCATCACAGCGGCTTTTGCATATGAGGCATCTCACATTCTTTACATTCATTTCTATTGTTTCCCTGCCATAATTCAGTTGGTCATTTTCTGTCCCTGAACTAGCATAGCAACCTGCTAACTGATTTCCTTGCCTCCGATTTCCTCCCAAACTAGCCCATTCTATTGTTAGACTATTGTTCATAAGGTGTTGCTTTGATATTATTATTCTCTTGAGAAGACTTCTTTGTCTTTCCATTGCCTAACGAATTAAATGTCTGATATTTGAGGCCTTCCATATTTGCTTCTAACCCTGTTTCCAGGCGTACCTATTCTCTAGCCAAAGTGGGATTGTTCTTCCACTTTGGCATGCGATGCTCCCACCTGCCTGCCTTTGCACCTTCTGCTGTCCCCGCGTAGATAACACCCAGAAAGTCATTATCCCTGCCATCAGACACACCTGATGTGGAAGCCTTATTTCACCCTAAGTTATCTCTCTTATCCTCAGTTTCTTCACTTGTAAAGGGAAATAATAAAAATCTGCCCCAGGGAATGGTGTGAGAATTAGCTGAGATAATGTAGTGTTTGGCATGTGGGTGGTTAGTAAATGGCAACTATACTTTATTTCTGTCTCTAAAATATTATCCATCCTTTAAAGTCCATCTCAGTGCCATCCCCTTTGAAATTCCTTCCTTGACGGCCCCACTGCCAAACCCAATCATCTTCCTTCCTCTGAACCTCTGTTAGATGCTGAACTTCTCATTGCAGCTGTTTCCGTACTGTCTTCACTTTTCATCCATATTTTTCCCCGAAGGTAATCTCCAAGGAAGTAGCAACTAATACAAAGTCTTGGAGCAAGCAGGTGGTAAGTCTATTGCATAAATAACTTCCATGTCAAGAAATGAACAACAATGATTTGTTGCTGATGTGGGGATCTCGCGTGGTGGAAGTAACTAGCCAAGAGGTTCTCTGTGTCTGAGATAAAACTGAGCCTCAAATCTTTATGTATATATCTACCAACTACTGGCTTTTAAAAAATAATTATTTTTCTGAATATAAAAGTACTCATAACCATAGAAAAAAGCTAATAAAATAAAAAGCATCTGTAATCACACCACCCAGAGATACTGCTACTAAATTTTGTATTCTTTAATACTAGTCTCTTTTTCTATGCATCTAAGTATAATATAACATAAAATTTGGATTCTATAGATGTATGTCAGAATTTTTCACATAACATGTGGCAAGCATTTTCTCATGACATTAAATATTATTTTAAAACGTTAATTTCTGCACAATAACCCATCAAGTGAATGTATCCTAATTTAGTCTTTTTTCCATTGTTGCATACTTGATCTTCTTCTTTTTTAAATTTTTAAAACACTGTGATCAACTATGCTGATAGAAATAGCAGAATAGATTTGTAGATTTAGGATTAAAGAGCCGATGGAATTAAAAAAAAATAAAGCTCTTGGTTCTGACTTTCTGTTCATGAAATTAAAATTTTTTTCTGAAATACGGTTGACTGTTATTGAGATATGATTGACATACAAAAGGTTGTATAT